CGAGTATTTACGTTGCTACTTTAATTGATCGTATCGATCTCTTCCTGGATCGAATATCTCGTCACGCTTCACACCAAGATTTCACTTTTCGATTCTTCGTGTATTAATAATTGCAATTCGATCTCGAGATTACAGTCATTATTTCTAAAAGACAAGGTCGAAACGCGCTTCACTCTGGCTTCGATTCCTCCGAAATGTATCAATTTTTAACCTCGTCTTAAATTTCCATTTCGATCTCGCGAAAATTCAGCTCTTTCGAGCTGTATCTATTATTTCTAAATTAAATTACTTATCGCTCCAATCTTTTCATCTCGTTGGAAATTTGTTGGGAAGGCGCGTAATACCGCGAGAGAAGTGTAGGAGAAAAAGGGAGGAAGAAGGGACAAAGTTTATCGTCCGACAAACGACACGGACTTCGCGCCGACGAAAATATCCCGGAGCGGAGGAATTCGTTACCACGACCGCCTCGTATCCTCCTCTTTTCTTCGTCTCTCTGTGTGTGGCGCGGGTTGGTTTCGCGCGGTTTTAAGCGACCCTCCGCCTCTTTGATGCACGCTTTCCGCTACCTTTTTTCCCCGGTCCCGGTTAATTACTCGCGTTCGGTAAAAATATACTCGTCGCTGAGAAGGGATTCGGCGGATATTCTCGAGCCGATCGTCAAGATTCGACGATTTTACCTTGCTTCCCCCATTGTATCTGAGTTACAATTTCTTTTCCACCATTTTGCGTAGTTTAAATACGCTTACGAGAAATCGCATTTTTTTTTTGATCGAATCAATCGTTGTAAATGTTTTCTTTTTTTTCTATTATGCGACGATATAACAAAGAGTCGATGATGTCCAGTCTAAAATATGCGGAGATAGATGTTTGTACGAGATGGGTGAAGCTGCAAACGTTATTCACAGATTCGCAACGAACACGAAAGACGAAAGTTTCATTTTATTTATTTTCCCGAAAAGAATTCGGTTTTTTTCTTATGCGAAAGGTCTCGGAAGATTTCGTTGAAATTCAGAGCGCCGCTTCTTCTTCGTCTCGCAAAGTCTCCGACTCGAGGTTGAGGAAAGGCGGCGAGGGTGAGCCAGATTTCACGGAGGCGTGAAAACCCAATAAGGGAGAGGCATCCGTCAAAACGGATGTTTACCAGAGCCACGTGTCTACGAGACGTTTCTCGATCGAGCGTGGAACCGAGGAGGATTCGTCAGGCAGCCGAGGATGCCTAGGGAATTTCTCTAATCGAAGGAATCCCTGAGAACCTCTCCAGCGAGAGGATTGGAATTCCACCAACCATCGTTTGTTCGCCCTTGCGTTCCACCTCTCTTCTCCCTCTCTCTTCTCTTTCTCGAGTTATTAGCAAGCTTCCGGTGCAACGAAGGCGCCGTGAGCGTCGCACGAGACAAAAATCGCGAGAGAACGGTGAAGAGATCGGAAATACGAAGAGAGAAAAAAGAAGAAGAAAAATGGATGGTTCGCCGGTTGTTCGTGAAGGAACGAAGATATTCGTCGAGATAATTTTAGGCCACCCTTCCTTTCCGCCTTTCCCCTCCAGTAGTTGCTTTTTTCCGATCCTCGCATCCGGCTCGAGCCCCGTGCGCTCGAATATTTGTACAATGACGCTGGATATTTCCACGGTGGAAAAATAGCGTAAGCGTATGTATGTCTTCAAAAACGAAACGAGATCGTAACAAGATCCTCTCCACTTCCCTGCAAAATCTTGCTATAAATTTTGTAACATCTCCTCACGAGAACATTTATCCAATTGGGCCGAATAATAACCACGAATACTTTGTAACAACGCGTAAAGATAGATTACTTCGTCCAAGTAATTCGTAATTCCTCGAGGATCATCCGTGACATTAACGCGAAATCCGACACGAAATCCTCCGAGCACAGTTTTGAAGAACGGTTTGAAAAAGTTGTTACTATCGTATCTTTTACTCGTACATCTTATCCTCACTAGTATACCATTATACCGAGAATCCACTATTCGGGGCGTTCTATCGCGTGTCCGCTGCGCGAGATTTTAACGTACGCGATCTAGTTCCAAGGATTGCCTAAAAACTCGAAAGCGGGGAAAGTTTGATTGCTCCGAATCCTCCACTCCCGCGTTCAACTTTCTCAACGGGGATGAAGGCTCGTTCTCATCCCTCGGAAACGTCATCGACTCGTCCCCAACTTTTATTTCACGCCCTCCCGGATTCGTTCTGCTATTCTTGGACGGAAGAGGTCGACGACGAAACAGATTCCGGCGATGAACTATCCAAAAGGCGACGAGGAACGCGTAACGAGCGCGTGTCGCCCCGGTATTTACGTGACAGGGGGGAGGGAGAGTGTTCTCGCGTCGATCGTTCCCGTCACTATTTTCCCGGAATTTCGCTCCTCTAACTCGAGGAACGCCGAGTGTCCCAAGAATTGGCGAAAAATGCGCGCTTACGGAATGGAGTCGTATTTTTAACTCGGATTCGTCGTCGACCCGAAAGAGAGAGAAAGAGGCGCGTGTGTAAACGTCCTTGTTAAGTTTCCACAGAGAGAGTGGATGTCGTAGCTCCGTTTATTATAGCCCGCCTCGATTATTCTCGCTCTTCGTAAAAGACGAAGATGCGTAATAACGCTCTTCGTTATTACGTACGATTACGGCCTCTCGTGATTTATTGCGAGCCATATAAAATACCCATATATTTCGAATTCTACTCGCACCCCTACCTAGGCAAGGTCCATCCACTTTCAACGCGTCCATCCAACGTGTGCTATTCAAACAATTTAATTAGACGATGGAAACTCGTTTTCCTTGAACGCAACTCAATTAGGGTGCGGAACTAAGCAGGAACGAACGATCTTGGAGCAAGGTGTCGCAGCAGGATCGAGGAGCCCGACTTAGTACACGTAACTGTACAATTACGATCGCAGACGCGGCCGTAACTTGTCCGCTTGCCTACCCTCCATCATTGCCAAGATCCCAGCCTGTTCGGATTGTTATACCGGAAGGGACGAGGGCGAGTGTGGTCGTGTGGCGGTCGCCAACCACGGCGGTGGTAGAGGGGAGAGGGACGGGTGCCCCCGAATCCGCCTAACCAATTACCCGAGAGGCGAGGTTAACGGAGGTACGAAGATGAATTTCGCGCGGCTTCTTTCAACAGGTTGCTCTTGTGGCGCGGGCAAAAAACTCGATTCCATTCGGCAGAGTCGTCGTCTGGATAGAATCTTGGCCGCGCAAAAACCTTCTTCTAATTAACGCTACGCCCGGCTGCGGCGCCGTTTGATCGCGCGTTCCTCGCGAGGAACGGTGCTTCCAGGGGACTTTTATCGTCGATAACGCTCGAGAAATCCCGCGAGAATGTTTCCAGTAGCCGGGTCGCTCGCTCGATAAACGATTAAACGCTTCGAGGCGAAAGAGGCGAGAAATGATTCGCGTCCTCGATTAACGAGCCGATCCGAAAATTTACGGGAATATGTAGGATGCTCGATAAATCGTGCAATGCCTCGTCGATAAACCACTCGAACGCGCGTTTCTTTTCGAACGGCGCGCCTCGTTTCGTCGTGATTTAGATCGAATCGAAAGAATGGGTCTCGGGCTAGCCCTCCTGAAGCGATCTATTCTCATTTCTAAGCTAGGAACGCCGGCGATCTAGATCGGTCAATAACGGCGAAGGAATGATGCTCAAAATGCTCTTTGGCTTTATCTTTTCGGTTTGAAGATGGAAAACTACTACGTTGGACAGTTTGAAAGATAGTCGGTTTAATCCGTCCGCTTTAATCGTTAGATCCAACGATTGATAAGCGTAAACGAACGATAGAATTCACCGATTTCTCCACAGGATAAAGTACGGTCGAACGGTCGGTGATTTACGTATTCTTACGTGGCGCACTCGAGAATACGGTTACTCTTTACCCTACTTCGTAACTCGATCGAAACAGGGGAACGCGAGATAGATCGAAACCGATCGAAGAATCAAAGGATAGTTTGAAAATCGCGAGAGGTCGTTACGGTGTGGACTTGAGATTCGAGCGGTCGTGAAATACCTGTGGAGGCGAACGAGATCGATACCGCGACGGCTAATTAAGGAAGAAAGCCTACGGGTACTTGGTTCAATATTTATACTTGTTTGGTAGCGCGATGGAAAGAGAGAGAGGCGAGAAAAGGGTGAGAAAAGAAAGAATTTCTCCGCATTGACCGTATTACACCTCGTCCATGTCCATTTTTCTTTCCCTCGGTAATTATTTGTATTTTATTTTTGTCACGACACCTGTATATATATATATATTTATAAAACATTATAGGATATATAAATGGTCGCGCTCTTTCATCGTCAATCTTAACGAAGTTAATAGCTCTATTTACCCGACGCTTGAAGTTATTTCAATGCGCGTACTGCACACGGGCAATCAGGACGCGCGTTTTATACCGCGAAAACTCATTTCACCATGGTCGGTAACATTGTTTCGTTTATTAGTGGATCAATGCCACGCGCAATATCGCTAGATTTCATCGTGGCAGACTGCTACGGAAACGCAATTAATTCGTCTCTTTCCCTCTTTTACGTATTGTCGCGAACGCGTCGGCTTCCTAAATGAACGCTGCCTGCCTCTCCATTCTCCTCCTTTTTTTTCCTCCCTTCCTTCTTTTTCCGTTATTTTTATCATTCTCCCTTCGCCACCACCACCTTTCTACTTTTCATTTCCTCCTCCTCTTCTTTTTTTTCTCTTTTCCCCTTTTTCGCTTATTTCCCGCGCGGTTTTAAGCGGACTCTCGATCGAAGCACGCTTTTTAACGCTCACCTAGACGCTTATAAAATTTCGATCAATCGCAATGTTTCCATCCAAATGTCTCTTTGGATTGGATAATTGGCCAGCTACCGCCCCCCCTCCTCTTCCTTTTCTCTCGATTACCGCCTCCTCATTCGTGATTACGCTGTTACTCTCGGGGCCTCGATATCTTGGCCTCGGCGCGGTAACGAGTTTCCGGTAAGCACGACAACAATCCCGTGTTACAGATATCGGGGAAGCGGAACCGTTGGAAGGGAAACCGTTTCGGGGGGAGCCGGTTGCGATGCAGCTAGCGGATTTCGTACGGGATCAACAGGAGATCCAATCGTCGACATGCGAGTATTGCACTTTCAGGTAAGCTCCCCATCATCCTCCGGCGGCACGAGTTTCTGAATTCGCAAATTGCGGCCCAATGGAAGGATTTCGTCGATCGGGATTCCGTCGAGGGTGTGCAAGCTCCTCGGCTATTATTTACGTTTCGCACGCAAATGAATGGCCGCCCCTTCCCCTTTCCCAAAACTGATTTTCCACACCGGCCTATCGAGGCCTTAATTTCTAACCCCCTTTTCATCATCGATATCTGCACACGTATTTGAATGGTATTTTCGTTATCTTTTCCGAGTGGTTTCGATAATTCGATCGAAAGAAATGAGCAGGCTTGTTACGTTCGTCGAGTGTTTGCGGATGTTTTTTTTTACAAAATCGATCGATTAATTGGCGCGCTAATAGTTTGGGCAAATTTTTCACCAACGTTGTTCCAAAAGTGATACTCGAATAGAAATCTGTTTAAATACAGAGGATTAAAAATCGATGTGTAAGTGACATCCTTTGGAATTGACTAAACTATTCAAGAATCTTTTTATTGTCGAAATTCAGATTCATCAAATTTATCAATTTTTGAAAGTTTAATTAAAAAAGATCGTTGAATAATACAAGTGATTTTCAGAAAATATGACTTCTATTAATTGGTTTTTCAAACTTCTACGTGAAAGGCTTGAGACAAGTCGCGTGGAAATTATTCCGAGAAATTCATTTTTGAAAATGAATTTTATCCAATAAAAATTTAAGAAAATAGCTTTCTTCTAGTAGTATATTTTTATATTCTTCAATTTAAATATTGCATCCGTTTCAATTTATATCGAGATACCTTATATTAGCTAATTTAAAATATAATATAAAATTATAACATTGTTCCATATTCCATCCGATTTCTCAGAAATTTTTTTGTATATGTATTTGAAATATATTTTTTGCCACATCGTTTTCCTTTTTCATATACATATATTTATAACTTTTCCTAAACGCAAATCTATAACGATCTTATAGAGATCGGATTATGTCCTATCCTATAATATTTGAAATGTTTAAAAGCGGCGATTGTTCGAAATTATATTCGAAGGAATGTTATTTCCATACGACGAAATTGTCGAACTCTCTGCGATTCAATGTTCTCGTTGACGCGCTTTCGGGATACTTGGCGCGAGTTTGGTTTGGTGTCGCGAGGAAAAAATTGATCGATCGAACGGGTGAAAAAAAAGTGTGATTAATGATGTGAGGATGGTGACGCATGGGTACTTGGTGCAAGTTACATTTACAGTTCACTTTCTATGGTCTGAATTATTTTTAAATATATAATTTTCGAAGGGACGAGAGTTGAAATTTGGCCTCGTTCGGCCATAAGATTTAACGAGAACGCATGGACACGTGTCTTCTATCGTATAACATGCGTCGAGTCGAATCAAAGTCGAATGGAAAATAGGTAAGAATAGATGCAACTCATGAAAGTTGGATTACGTTGAAACGGGAACGTTTGAGTCATCTCTGGATCTTTGAATAATTAAAGATTGGCTACTTTTTCTACTTTAAATTTAAATAAGCTATATAATTCGTATCGTTGTATATATATATATAATCTTGTGTACATGATTTAAATGAACGATGGATGCTATTTCGTGGTGATTAATTTAATATTATCGATGATTCATAAATAAAATTTTTAAATTAATTTACACATCTCGTATTTTCCGAAGCGTTAATAATGAAAGATAATTCGCGACGTGTATTATATTTATTCGATATTGAAGGGATGGCGAAATATGGAACGTTTTTACAGACAGATGTTAAATATAACGTGAAAATTTTCACAGATATGGCGTTAGATGGGTAGGTAGGACAAGCGGATATTAAAAATTTAAAGCGATATTTTATATATATATATATATAAAAAAAAAAGAATAACAATAATTACGACGAGCCGCGTACGATATTATCTTTTCCCCGATGAAAAAGAAAACTTATCGCGTTAATTTTTTTTTTTTTTTGAGAATGAAAACGATTTTTAGAAAAAACGATATATAATGTGTATTCGAAGCTTTTACGTAACGCGATGTCCGGTTGAAGTTAAAAGCAACGAGTCGGAGAGTAATAACCAAATTTCTGATCGGTGTTTCGGAAAATAGAGTGGAACCCGCCGTTTTTAATCCGCTTTTTACTATTAAACGAAACTGTGGAAACTGCGTTTGACAGCTCGCGTGTGTATTGTTATTTCACACCTACCGGTGGCGATATTTAAAGAGTGGCTTGTTCAGGCGAACACCAACCGAATCCACAAATACCGATTATTTGTATTAAATATTTATACAATCGTGGAATTCAATCGCGGAATTCAACCTTCGTTTAAACAATCCGATTAAATAACGAGATCTTCCCGTCCAACCGGACGTTCCCTTCCCCGGAATCGTCGTTCATCGATTACTTCCGCGTTCAAACCTGATCGTCGCATCATCTTCTTCTCCGTTGGATCGCTACTTCCGTGAAACGAAATTCGACGAAAGTGATACGAAATACTACAATTCTGAAAGCCCTTTAGATAAAGCCCTTTTCCACCGATTTTTCCAATTACCCCCAACGAAGCCAGGCCGTGTCGTTAAAAACCGGTTTAAAGTACGACGAAACTTTCGTCGGTGAATTCCTCCTCCTGGCCCCGTTTTGGCCCCCGATCTTTAACGCGTTCCAAGTCGCGAGAAAGGACGCCGTTCAGTTTCGTTTCTACAAATTAACCTTTCTTGCCTCGGTAAATTCGTAATTAGGACGAGGGGAGGACGAGTTAAATCGGTAGAATAAAAACGGTCGGATCGTGGGTGCACACCGACGACCAAAGGTGGGGTCGGTCGCCAAGGTGGTCCAGATCTTTTCGAGGAGCCGATCGATAAATCTTGCTCCTTTACACGAGGGGAATAGAGGAATGGGGAGAGCGGAAATGTTCCTGCGGTTCCGGGATATAAAGGGAGGAATTAAGGGGGGAGTGTCGGGCGCGTCGTTTTAGCGCTCTGAATTTCCATTTAAACTCCTAATTAATTTTCATCGCTCATACGGCTGAGCCGGGGAGGCTATTTATTAGACGGTTCGGTGGTGATTTTCTCGAAGCGCGGGAGTGGCGGTTTTCCAGGATCGTAAATAAAATTCGTCGCGCGGATATTACCGCGGGGAGTAAAGCGGGAGGGGAAGGGGTCGGCTATTACTATTCTTTCGGATTAGACGGGAAGGGTGTGTGTGTGCGTTTCGAAGCATCAGCCGAAAGAGGGTTAATGGGTCCGGGGTTAATAAAGGGTGAAAATCTTCTCGAGAGATAGCCGATTTCTCCGAGTTCTAACGTCTTAATGAATGCTCGCGGTGGACGGCGATCTTTGACGCGGCAAGGGAGGAGGAGGGAACAAATAATCCGGCGACAAGTTGGCGCTAGATGCACGGGGATCACCGATGAATATTCAAGCTGATTATTTTGCAGTTATTCATCGGTTAAGTTCGGGCGACGAGACTACCGGCAAGTTAGTTGCAGTTAAGAAGTTTACCGGTGGTTGCCAATCCCTCTTCGAGGATTTAGCTGGGAGAACCGCTTAATTTTATTAATCGCGATCTAATATTATCGCGACAATGCGGACCCGACCGTTCCGCCATTTCCATCGAATCGATCGAGCCGCGACGAGACGAGGATAAAGAGAAGAGAGGAGGGGGATTCGTTCGACTTTTATCGCGGAACGAAGGGAGGAAGGCAGGCGTATCGGTACAGTTTCGATGTTAAATTCAGAGGCCAGAGGGACGAGATGCACTCGAGACGTCTCCAAGGTGGAGACTAAAGTTTCTCTTCGCTCCGAGGAGACCCTTCTTCCCTTTGAACTCGCTCGCCGGGAGTAAATCATGGATTTAGCGCATGGGCGTAGGAACTCATCCTCCACCGGCTAACTAAGGCTCGTCCTACGTAACGCTATCCCCTTTCTCGTTACTTTTTTCATTTTTCATTTTCTTCTTTCTTTTCTCTTTTTCTCTCTCTCTCTTTTTTTCTGTTTCTCTGTTTCGCTACGCGTTTGTCTTTCTCTATTTCGACGCGATTAACGAGTACGGTACAGGGATATTTTTTTCCATATCTCGTATGACACAGTCTTGTACAGACTGAACCGGAGCGGAGAGATAATTCCATGCGCGTTTTCTCGCGAAATTCCCGGCGGAAATTTCATTTTCGTGCGTTCCCCAGTGGGCTAACCCCAGGGTAACGCTGCCTTCGTTTGGAGAAGTTTGAAGCGACGAGAATTGAAAAAGTTGCGGCCTCGTCTCCGCGCGGATTTTAATAATTCGCGAGGTGACAGAGGTGGCAGGGCAGCGAAACGGGGGAAGAAGCGAACGAAGAAATCCGTTCCAGATGCGGATAGAAGAAATCAAAAGTTGGCCGGCCTGTCTCGCCGCAACCCCTCCTTCCTCCGTCCGACAGCGTCGGCGCGCGTGAAACAAACGGGCGATGAATCGCCTATGCGCGCGAGTTGGAATACTACGTGGCGATGAAAAGAGGTTTACCTTCGGGGGAGGTGACGCTCTTGTGTTCGCCCTTTACGTTTGAACCGCGTCATATGACGTGAAAATATTCGAGATGTATGAAAATGAAACTGAAAGAAAGACACGATGGACGAGTTTTGACGAGTAATTGATGTACCTGTTCGCACGGCTACCGTTTCAAAGTGTTTGACATCGTGGAACCGGGATACGAGGAAAATTCAATTGGTTCCGCGTTCTCGCGGATCGCTATTGTTCGTGTTTATTGAAAAAAGAAGAAAAAGAAAAAAAGTTGAGAAAATAGCGGAGAGCAAAATGGGATCAATAAAGAAAGAAAAAATATATATAAAATGCAAAAAACTTGCGGGTCTGGATTTCTTTTGAAAACGTGTATCGTGTCAGCCGCGCGTAACGAGCGAAATCGAATAAATCAACAGGAAAATTTGTATCGCGACAAGAGGAAGTGGTGGAGATTGTCGAAGACCGCGAAGAAGAAGCTCATCCCACGTTGTCCCAGAAGAGGTAAATCG